CTCGCTGGGTGCACGACTCCTGTCTCACGGGAAACAGGCGACGGAAACGCACTTTGGGTTTGAAACGGTGTCGGAGGAGGAGAAAGGGGGCAAAGGTAAGAGGCGGTGGAAGGAATCTGAATGTCTACGAACTAGTTTCTTTTGCCCGAATAAGGGCTGATTAACGTCCATTAGCTCTGATGTCGTATCCTGTGCAGTCCAGACCTCCAAGGGGAGACCCAGCCTGACCTGCTCTTTTTAAGCAGAGTAATTACTCACCAAATCTCATCAATTGAGAGCTTATATGTGCCAGGCACCGTTTGCAGGACCTTTGCAGACATTATTTCCAATGCTTTTTCAACTTTCCGATGGCGTTACACATGAGAAAATCGAGATTTAATAGTTAAGCGAGCACTTGCCCGACGTAACGTAGCTAGTAAGTTGTACGACTCGTATTCCACCCCAGTTTGGTCTTACTCCAGAGCTCCTGTTCCTTAGCTTCTTGATAAAAGGAGAGACTATTTCTTTAATAGAAAACTGTGCCTCAGTTTCCAGATTTGCAAAGTAGGAATGGCAGTAACCCTTCCGTTTGAGTTCGTGTGAGGATTAGATTACTTAAACATTCAAGGACTTCAACAGTGCCTGGCTCTTAGGTATTATTCAATAAATGTTAGATTTTGTTGAGCAGTTTCTGTGTATCCAGCACTGTGCCCCAGACCTAAGAAGTGAAAAGAACTGTTTTTAAACTCCAACTGCACTATTTATAACAAGGAAGGTATTATGCCCATTTCACAGATGGATAAGGTGAGGCACTGAGAAGTTCGGGGGCTTGTGGTAAGACCAGACAATGAACAAGAGAAAGAACCTAGAGTGGAATTTCCTACAGTCTCACCTTAATCTAACTAAAAAAAACATAGCTCTATTGTAACTTTGAACATCGAGTTTAAATTGTCATTTATTTCACTAGATTGAATCCTCAGAAAACTAGAACAAGGATGCTATCATTTCTCTGTCCTCAGGGCTAGGTGCAGGGCATGACACATTAGGAGCTCATAACTGCATGTGGAGTACGATGATTGTTGTAGTTGTTAGGTGCCATCGAGTTGGCTCTGACTCACAGTGACATTGTGTCCAACAGAATAAACCACGGCCCAATCCTGCACCATTCTCACAATTCTTGCTATTGCTTGAGCCCATCTTGCAGCCACTGTGTCAATCCATCTCACTGAGGGTCTTCCCCTTTTTCACTGACCCTCTACTTTACCAAGCATGCTATCCTCCAGGGAATGGCCCCTTCTGGCAACATGACCAACGTAGGTGAGTGAGACTAAGCCTGGCCATTTTCACATCTACGGAGCATCCCAGCTGCACCTCTTCCAGGACAGGTTGGTTGGTTCTTCTGGCAGCCCATGGTATTTTCAGTATTTTTCTCCACCATAATTCAAAGGTATCAACCTTCTTCAGTCTTCCTTATTCATTGTCCAGCTTTCACATGCATATGAGGTAACTGAAAATACCATGGCTTGGGTTAGGTGCACCTTAGTCTTCAAAGTGACATCTTTCCTTCTCAACACTTTGAAGAGGTTTTTTTTTTTTTTTTTAATTAGGATTTGGGTGAAGATTTACAGAGTAAATTCACTTTTCCTACAGCAGTTCACATATACTTTGTCTCATGTCATTGACCAAAATTTACAATGCAGCAGCTCCCCTCCCACTTCCTCCCCATAGTTACCTCCTCCCAGTGTCCATCCCTTCATACTTGAAGAGGTCTTTTGCAGCAGATTTACCCAGTTCAACATAACATTTGGTTTCTTGTCTGCTACATCCATGAATGTTGATTGTGAATCAAGTAAAATGAAATCCCTGACAACTTCAATCTTTTCTCCATTTATTGTGGTGTTGCTTATGGGTCCAGATGTGAGGATTTTTGTTTTCTTTATGTTGAGGAGTAATCCATACTGAAGGCTGTAGTCTTTGACCTTCATCAGTATGTGCTTAAAATCACCTTCACTTTCAGCAAGCAGGGTTGTGTCATCTGCATATTACTGGTTGTTAATGAGTCTTCCTCCAATCCTGATGCTGCTTTCTTCTTCATATAGTCCAGCTTCTCAGATTAATTGCTCAAGATGCAGGTTTAATAACTATGATAAAAGGATACAGTCCTGATAAGCCCTTCCTGATTTTAAACCATGCAGTATCCCCTTGTTCTGTTTGAACAGCAGCCTCGTGGTCTATATAGACTTCTATAGAGGCTGACTTGACGGCAAACAACGACAACAACAACAACAATAGGTTCCTCATGAGCACAAAGGAGCTCTGGTAGCGTAGTGCCTAAGGCACTTGACTGCTAACCAGAAGGCTGGTGGTTCAAACCCACCAGTCACTCCTCTCCTCGGAAGGAAGGTGGGGCAATCTACTTCCGTAGTGATACTGCCTCGGAAACCCAAGGAGCGGTTGCTGTGAGTCGGATCCAACTTGATGGCACATAACAACAACAACAATTTATAATGAGATTTAGTTTTAATTTAATTTTAATGTAAATTTTCATTTTTTAATTAAAAATAGAAATTTTGAGAATGAAAGTGTTCTATTTCTTTGTAAAAAATTTTCTGTCAAGCATTTGGAACAGTGTTTCCTACCTTCTTCTCTTTGGATACTGTACAATGTGGAGTGAGCATATTTTCCATGCTTTAGCAAATAGCCATACTCTTTTCTAGGTTTTGATCAGTTTCTAACATTTTACCCATTGCACTTTCCATGTCTTGAAATATCTCTAAGGGTTGCTTCAATGTGAAATTTTTTGTTAGTATCATTTCCTCTGGGACACCTTGGACCTTTTTGTCAGAACCACGTTTCTCGTTTCTGTTGGTAAGTTCATCTTCACTAAGTTCCTCTGGCTGCATGTCTATAGAGTCTTGAATGCCGGCATTGTCACCATACACGTGGCCAACTATTTCTTGTACAACTTCACTGACATCTGATTCAGATTTCACTTCCAGCATTATATCACTTTTTACTTTTCTGCACTTTCATCTTTGTCGGCCAGTTCCCTCTTTCAGTTTTCCAGTTTTGTAAGATGTCACGTGGGTTTGTTACTGGGAGATGAGGTGGCAGCAACCACGTGCTTTGCTGTCTGTGTGTGAACTGGTGCGCAGTGGCCAGCCACCGACAGGCTTTGAGAGAAGTGATGTGATTTGTCACGGATCTTGATGTGCGTCTGTTTTATTTACATAGTGCTTTGTGGACTGAAGAACTGGCTGTCAATGTTCTCTCTTTGTTAACTCACAGCTAATATACCATGGTAAGAGAAACCTGATTCCTGTTCTTGGGGACTGGTGTTACTCACCTGAACTGCGGAAACTGAAATTTTGGAACTGTGTAAAGTGAGGAGTGCCAGTACTCGACTGTTGGAGACATAATGCCCCTCAGATACCCCAAAAGTAGTTCAAAAGGAAATAAGCTTGGAGATTCCAGGACTGAGAACAGGCCTTCAGGATCCCGTTGAAGAGGGGCTCTGTCTGCGGTTTGCTGATTCACAGCAGAGGATGGTCATGTTTTGGATCTCTGTGTGCTTTTCATCCAAGGAACTCAAAGCATCTGTCCTTCATTTCCTAATTCAGCCTTCCTGCAGGGAGGTAGGTGGCTGGCACCAATAGTCCCATCTTATGGGTGGACAAACTGAGGTGCAAAGCACTTACCCAGACCGTGCTTGAAAGGGACACTGTTCTGAGTATCTTGGATAGCAGATTCCTTTTCCTTGCGGTCTCAGGTTCCACGGTCCTTCTTGATCCTATGAGGACCTGCTGGATGTGGCTTGGCCCCATTCACATCTCGCTGTCAATTGCCCACTAAATTATACCTGAGATTCTTTTCATTGATGCAGCCAGAGATGAGCGGAGGCCTTCTGATTAGTGGCATAAATTTTAATAAATTTTGTTGTTGTTTATTTTAACAACCATTATTATTATTGCTGTTAGTTGTCATGGCGTCAGCCTCAACTGATGGCCGCCTTGTATGTAACGGAATGAAACGCTGCCCAGTCCTGTACCCTCTTCGTGATTTTGACCCATC